CCTTGGCTATCTGGTTTCTAATCTAACCTTTAAACTAGAGATCATCCTTCCAAGGGCTAGTCATTAAGTCGGAGTCTCAGTTCCCACTCCTCGTCCTTAGTAGGCTAATATGCACGTCTTCTATTTCTGTATGAATATTTAAAAAGAAGTTGTTAGGTTACAAACTGACGACTTCATTAAAATACATATATCCATAATGCAAGTATATACCTCTTTATTTCTGCCATGTGGTAATCCCCTTCCTACCTTTTTTCCCCCTCTGAACTCAATTACATACTATGCACATTAAAAGAAGTCAGTTTGGGTAGTAATGATGACTCAGGCCTATAACCTCAGCATTTAGGAAGCTGAGGCAGAAGGATGGCCATGAGTTCAAGGCCAGCCCATGTTACATAGTAAGTTCCTGTCCAAGACCAAAACAGAATACAAAACAAAAATAAGTCAGTTTATTTCTGGAGACAGATTGATTTATGGGTTAATGATCAGCAGAGACAGAATAAATCCAGACTAATCTGAAACATCTTGACAGATTAACCAGACCATATCTGCAAGGTTCAGGGAGACCCATGGGGCTCAGAGGTGGGCTGACCCCATGTAGTCTTGAGGCTAAGTCTCTCATATCCAATCTGAATAGCTGTCAGGAAGGGGAAGGTCGGGAAGGGTAGAGGGCTGGAGGAGGCTACCTGGCTGTCATGCAAAGCCCTGCTTTCTGCTAGGATCCTAGAATGTCCTCATGGGTCACGGAGAGAGTATCATTGTAGGCATTATTTTTAAAAACTTTCTAAGTAGAAGACAAAGTTGAAAAAAAAAATCCAAAGCTCTGAATATGCTTTAGAGGTGTATTCTTACTCCACACTCAGAGAGGACTGGTTCCCTTTGTGCTTCTGTAATTGATGGCCCTGCAAGTTCATTGGCATGCCATTGCAGTCTGAGGCATACTTTTCCATGGTGTATTGGTTTATAGAAATATTTGGATGACAGCATTGTCTGACCAACCTCACATCTGAATGGAGTCTTCCCTCTTGTCTGTGGGATGGTTCTCCTTACATCTTCTCTTTAATCCTCGTCAGACACATGTCAGATATCTCATTTTCACTAATTCACCCCAGATCTTTATTCCTAGGAGTGTGCCCTCTACTTCCGTCCACTTGGTTTGCTTTTGGTTTTGACCCAGGTTGTTAGGTGCCAGGTAGTTTCCAGTTCATATCCTGAGTTCTTCCTTCCTTCCTTCCTTCCTTCCTTCCTTCCTTCCTTCCTTCCTTCCTTCCTTCCTTCCTTTCTTTCTTTCTAGATGAATTAAAGAGATGGTTATAATCATTCTTGTTTGGCATTCTTAGATTTGCTAGATTACTATTTCAGGCTTTTAAAATTTTTAATTATTTCTTTTATTTTTTGAGATTATAGTCTCTCGTTTACCCTTCCCTTTCTTCCCTCCAAGCCCTCCGATGTACCCCCTCCTCAATTCATGTCCTCTTTTTTTAAATTAATTGTTGTTACATGCATGTATATATGTATATACATATGTATTCCTAAATACATAAATATAAAATAATTTCCACACTTAAGGCTCAGGGATCATTGTGGAAGAGGGTGTGGAAAGAGGGTATGAATCAGAGAAACAGGAAGTTTGCTGTGAGATTATGTCTCCTAGAATGTCAGAAAAAAGTATCCATAAAGTCTCACCAACTTGACTGCTTAAACATGAGCTGAATAGGACAACAGTAGACCTGCTAACTTGGACAGGGAAAGAAAGCAGGAGGCCTCAACCCTACACAAAGAACTGCAGCCCCCAAGGAATGCTGAGAGTGGGAAAAACAGTCTTCCCCGGGGAGGAGCAAACCAACTGGCTATCCAGTACCAAATGGTCATTAATTCTCTGTTCTGTCCCTGAGATGTTTTTCCTGCCCCATCCCATGTTGCGTGGCCTTTAGTACTCAATAAAGACAGATAATCTATGCTAGGTGAGTGAAGGATAAGAAGCAAGCTACATGGTCATTGTCTTTTAAGACCTTAATATCTAGTTGAAGAGACAGTTTCCACACACAAAAATAGTGAGCAGTAGCAGACAACATATAATTAAATGCTAAACTGAGAGACACAGCAATTTAAATGTTAGAAGTTGAAGGGGAAAAAGAGAAATCGAAAGAGGACTTGAATTTTAAGAGAAAACCTGATTGCAGAAATGGGATTTAACATAGAAGTTGAAACAACCAAGATCAGCATTAGGTGGGCATTTAAGGTAAGCAGTGAACAGGGACAATCAGTTGATGGGTGTAGCATTTCAGGAAGCTCTGTGGCCCTTCTGTCTCAGGGAGTCGTTAGAAGTCAGAGAGGAGGAGAGTTGGTAACTACTTTGACTTGGGCTACAACATGACCTTTAGAAGAATCACAGAGTAATGTTATCAAACAAGGCTTCCTTATAGAGTAGCACTCTTCCATTTTGTGTGTTCCTCAATTCTGAAATCTTTGGGGTATCTTTTCTTTTTAAATGACATTTGTCCAAATCCTTTGGTGTTCTAGGAATTCTGTGACCCACCTGCCTTCCCAGCATGCATACCTTTTGTGCCAACACACAATTTTTTTATGATTGACCTGCTATCTTGTGGTACATCTGCATGATTTCTGCCCATTTCTTCTCTAAGTTCTTTGGCAAGCCTTACCATCTCTTGACACCCAATGGCAAGATTCCCACCTGATGACATTTCTTTCCTTCTTAGATTCATCTTTCAGCTATTCGATGTTTAACACAGTTCTAGTCATGCCAAATAACTTAGAATTGCACGTTTTACTTTCTTTCTAATACAGCTTGATAAATTCTTCAACAGACTGGAGTGTATTTTATGTTGTGTTCCCTCCTGGTTCTGTGTACTGCTTTGGATATGTGCATGCTGCTTTGTGGGTAGCTATTAAGGAATTGCATCTTTTAAATTGTATTAATTATTATGTTTGAAACACCAATTATTTGAAATACCAGAGCTGTATTTTTGTAAACATGCTCACTATCATGCCTTGCCCATAGTGTTCCTTTTTTGGTAAATATTTCTCCAAATCGGATCATGTAGTAGATTCCAAAGCAAAGGACATTTCTTTTTCTGCTGTTTCATGGAAAGAAGAACTAACAGCAAAAATTATGAATCCAAGTTTTTCTGGAGGTATTGTTTCTACTCTTTTATTTTGAGTCATTTCTTAATCTGTTTCCTTTAATCATATATTATTCATATATCTTAGACATGCCTATAACTACCACTTCATATAATTTTTCCTTAATAATTTATGTTTGTAGATAGAGATAAGTGTATATATTAATTGCAATGTAACTGAAGAATTGGGCATTTTGGAAGGATTAATCCTGTTAAATTCTAATTGGCCCTTTGTTGGTACTTTTTCTGCCTGTGTCTTAAAATTTTTAATAAAATATCCATCAGTGGAAAACAATCATCTGTTAGAGCTAAAGTTAACATTGAGGAAGACATTTGAGTGATTGTAAAATCAGATATCCTAATGACTAGGAACAGTAGTTTAAGGATATTGGACCAAGTGGCGTAACATTTGTGTTTGTGTTCAGATTTAAGCTTAGCAGCCTCTTAATCTGAAATTAAAATCCTCAAATTATTTAAAATAAAATTATTTTATCATCTCCTTAACATTTTTCTAAGGCAAAATTAGCTGAGAATTTTTTATTCATATATATCATTCCCCCCCAATTTTCTGGATGAAATATTTTACCTTTTTAGTGTGTGTTTTTCTCGGAGTGGATGTTAAAAAAATTAGGTGGCCAGGCGGTGGTGGTGCATGCCTTTAATCCCAGTACTCAGGAGGCAGAGGCAGGCGGATCTCTACAGAATGAGTTCCAGGACAGGCTCCAAAGCTACACAGAGAAACCCTGTCTTGAAAAACCAAAAAACAAAAATTAGGTGTACACACACATACACATATATATGTATACACACACATATAAAAGCTGGAGTTAATGTTGTATGTAGGAAGCTTGTGTGTGTGTGTGTGTGTGTGTGTGTGTGTGTGTGTGTGTGTGTGTGTGTATGTGACTGAGAGAGAGACAGAGAAAGA